AGCAGGAATTAAGTAGATCCCAATTTACAAAGGGACATTGGGAGATTTTACCTCTCTCTCAAAGAACTTACAATTGACATGATACATTAATTTTGTGACAATTAAAACTCAATACCTGCAATACTGGTTGCTCAGCCTTTTCCTTTGCATCCTCAGCAACAATAGTTACAGCCAAAGCTAAAAGCAAAAACAAAAAAAATCTTTTTTCAAAATACAGTAGTTGATTTTCGCATTTGACAAAACTCCACCTAAAAAGGACAAGAAAGCAATTTCGGTAATTGTATCACTTAACGTGAAGAATATCGGTAAAAATCTTTTCAAGCATGAGAAAATCTGTTCTTTTACAAGTTATTCTGCTGTTGCCTGACGATTTTATCCCCATACATCTCTGGACAAAAAATTCTTCTTTGATGTGAAGCCAATTTATCTTGGCTTCAAGTCAAAACAAATCCCATGAAAAAAATCATCATATCTGCCGAGTCCAGTGGTTCAACTGATAGCATAATGTGCTATCACATGAAAGACTTGGATTTAATTTTACCCTTCAGTTAGGGGTTGTATATTATCAGATAAGCCCCACTTGGAATCCTGGATGAAGACGAGTTCATGTAGCACTTTCAGCAACTGGCATAAAATTGCTAGAAACTAGAAGACCATCACCTACCTTGGTTTTATACTTTAAATAGCTACACAGCTCTTGCTAATATATACAGAGGAGAGCTCCAATTAAAAATTAGCAGAGAAGAATGAGGCTGAGCCACCTTAATATGACTGACCTAGCATTACCTTGAGTCCCTGATCATTAGTAACATGAAATTGCCCTGGGTGTGCAACTTCATGTACATAAAAAAAATTAAACTTTTTATAATTTTCAAGGGAAGGTTTCCCTTCCCTTGCTAAGGCAATGCGTTTCAATTTGTCCATCTGTAAAACAAGGATTAAACTTACTTCAGACAGCTGATGTGTGGCTTGGTAAAAATTTAGATTTTTTAATTTAAAGATTCCTGAGAAAACCAAGGTATTTTAAACAAAAATTACTATAATCCAAATGAGAGAAAACTGAAAACATTACTCAAAAGGAACAGAACACAAGTAGTTTCCTTTAAAACTAAGAAAGCTTCCTACAATGACAGATTGACCTTCTGTTTGCAACTAACAGACATATATTACTTGGAATCAAAATAAAAAAAACTGAATAGTTAGTATCCATAAATCCCTTTAGCCAGAAGAACCATCCTGTAATTTAAGAAAGGGGTTGTCTCCTCACTTCCTAATTTTTTTCATTTGTGATTATTCATCTATTTTATCCTAACCTGCAAACCAAAAATTAAATATCATGCAGTCTGCTCTACCATGACATACCAGCTGAAAAAGAACCTAACCTCAAACACATAATTCATACAACTTAAGAAAAGAAAGTACAATTAGTAAACATATAACATATACTGCATGCTGGGTGCAGACAGACTCAACATTCAGAACAGCTAAAATGTGGTTTAAACCTAGGGGCTAGGGACAGAAATTACACATAAACCAGTTTAAACCTGTAACAGAACAGAAGTTCAGAGCACATAAACCAGTTTCAAAATGACTGAAACTGGTTTAAGATAAGTCTGATATTACATTCAAGCAGGGTTAACTAATTTATGTCAAATTGGTTTATGGAAATTCCGTCCCAGACCCCTTCCTGGTTCAAGTTAAATCACAGTCCCTCAGCATCCCGCAATGCTTTGCAGCCCTGGGCTGGCTAGGCTGCCTGCCTGAGCAAAGCAGGGTTCGCCCCGCCCCCCGCTTTCTAGCCAGAGCAGTGAGGGCTGGCTGACAAGGGAGTGGGAAACCCGGGATGCAGCCCAGTCTGCTTGGCAGGGACAGAGCAGCCCCTACCAGACTCTTCCCTGCTGGAGTAAAGCGGGTGGGAAGTATGCTCCTTGCCCCAGCCAAAGCCAGAGCTGCATGGGGAAGGTAAGCAGTGGCAGGGAGCAAAAGCAGAAGCCATACACGGTAGTGGCTACAGCTCCAACCCCAACCCCAGGTTTGGGGCTGAGGTCACAGCCACTGCTCCCACCTTGTACTCTAAGACGAGAGGCTTCCCCCACATTTTGAAAGGGGAAAAAAAACCTTATCTTAGATAAACAGTTCTCTTTAAACAAATTCAGTATTATGAGAGGATATCAAGCTTTCTGTAACTAGTGTCTGGTTTGCCTTCCAGTTTGTACACATTCCTGGCTTGTGTCCTAGTTTGTCCATACTCCATTGCTCTACAACCTGCCTGCACAACAACTGGTTGGCTGGTATACAGATACAACTCTACTGCCCCCAACATCTATTGCCTGTACCTGACCACTGTGTCCCTGGCTGAGGGCTCTGGGGCACCTCTCCCTTGCTTTAACGAGCAGGTCAATTTCCTTCCATTGGTCACAACTGATCGGACTTCCATATATCCCAGGCTTATCTGGGGTGGGAAGGTGGCCAGGTGGAATGGGGACTGCTTTAACCCCTGCTTCTGTATGCCTGGGGACTCAGGGCTCTGGCAACTGCTCAAGGACTCCATTCCCATTAATGGGAGGCAACTGACCAACTCTTTAAGAGCAACAGAGAGCTGCCCTCTAAGTCTGCATCCCACAAGCACAAAAAACAGGAGTCCAGACAGCCCCCTCCCACCCCACACCCGCCCAGGCATTCCCAGTCAGGATACCAACACACAGATTTCAGTAGGGTAGGAATGAGTCTTTATTGATCTCAATGTTAGTCAGAAGGGGGAAGAGAAAATTGCAATTGGGCTGGGTGCTCACTACCATCCCTGGCAGCAGTCTGATAGTACTGCAATGCCTAAATGATGACAGTTCCACTTGGAACCGATCTCAACGTGTATGCAGACAACTCTGACCTGGGATAATTGTGAACTGGTTCCCAATCAGTGTCCTTCTTGGAAAGGTTCAAGTGTTATAGCTGTCTGCACCCCTATGGTTTTGATTAATCATTTTGGTATCTATAAGGTATTCTGTATGGGAGGATGTCAACAGGGCTTGAACGTCAGTCTACATACATGGTAGTACTCTTTTCAGAAACGACTTTGCACTTTATTTTGGAAAGGCATAACTTACACTCCAATCTGCCTACTATCCCTTGCTGATAACCTCAAAATGCCATTCTCTACCTCTTCCAGTTTTGCAGTAGATGAGGAATACCTTGCATATGTAAAACAACTCTATGTCCTCGATTTGACACCATCTTAATTTTGAGATCAACACAAGAAACCTCCTTTTGGGAAATTTAGTGGCATTAACCTGAAGATGATATATTATCTAGTAAGTTTTGTTCCTTTACAGAACTGCAACATAAGCAGGATTTTCATGATTCTCAATTTTTAACATACAGGTGAGGGACTACATAAGGAGATCTGAATTAAATATGCAACTGAGACTGACAAAAATACTTCCTCTCTCATCATAACTTTAAATAACTTATGCCACACAGTTTGTAAGATTTATAAAATATTAATGTGTACGAACCTTGAAACAAATCAAAGATTATCCAGCTAAGTTGGAAAAAAGACCTAGGCTGTACTACATCCTTGACAGCACAGACAAAGGACCTAAAAGAATTATTTATACCCCGTTTCATCTCTGTATCGGACTTGTTGCATTGTCAAGAGATACAGGGACTCCCTATACTTTTCTAAATCTGTTACAATTCACCCAAGACCCTCTTTCACATGCTGTTTTAATGGCTACCCAATCCTTTTCTGGATAAATTAAGTTCAAAGAAGTAACAATACTGCTCATCTGAATATATTACTTCCTTATGCCTGATGATTTTAAATTCCCAGCTTCACTCTTTTCAAAGCAAGAAATACATTAATCAACTTTGTATCCTTTACACTGAATAAACTGAGAAGACTTTTCAAATATTCATATATGACAATAGTGGCAATTAATGAGGAAAAAATAACTAACATAATTTTTTAAATATCTAACAATGTTGGTAAAAGGCTACCTCTAAGGTGTGGGGAGGGGGCTTTTTTTTCTTTTAAAAATAAACGTATTTAAAATAAAATCTGAATATGATATACCATGTTGCATACAGAACACCCCATCGTATGCACCTAGATTTTGAAGGGGAGCCTGAAGAAAACAAAATCTTCAACTGAGATGAGTGATAGCAGCTAAGGGGGTGAGCCTGATGTCTGCTCCATGCACCAGATAGGGCCCACAGACTGATCTGACACGCCAGGTTTGGGACAATGTGTGGTGCATGATTGGGGACCTGCAGCCCCAGCCACTTAAAAGTTGGACAGCTGTCTTAAAACATTTAAAGTGAGAAAAATGTTTGCTGAGCACATGAGCCTCTATCAAAAGCTGTTACAGACTTCATGCTTTTCCATCAAAAAAGGAATAAGGGAAAAACATTCCAAGTTTTGTGGTCATTTTTTATAGATATGGAACCCCAAGGACTGCACTAATGGACACAACAGACTGGCAATGACTTCCCCACAGGCACTGGGACCACAGCACAAACCCAAGAAAACAAACTTCATGCATCTCCCCAGGATTATCCTCAGAATCCACCTGAGTTGTCCAACTCCTATTTTAACACAACTACCTGACACAAATCATGAGCAAAGTATTAATTATCTAGTTAATAATAAGCAATATATCAGGCACCATCTTCCAGAATACTAAAAATTTAAAGAATCTGAAAATGTTAACCTATATGACTATTTAAAGGTATACATAGTGATAATGTACCAACCAAGGTAGGAAAAAGGAGGTACTGAATGCAGTAACAGATCTATTTAACTATAAATCATTAAAATATGTAAATTATATCAATCACTAAGACACCTTTCTTTACAAAAGAACTGAAGTACAAAGGGAAAAGCTAATTAAATAAATTATCTGAATTAAGGCTTTCCACTTGTTGACTGAAATCATTATTCAAATTCTCTTAATTTAAACAATCCTTCTTAATATCAAAGAACCCCTCACTAGACAGGTTACCCACATATAGGAATTATTATACATACTGTAATTATGCAATAGGTTATGAGATGTTTTATCATGAGGCACAAGTACTATAATCTTGCAGAAAGCCAAGGTTTAAGCACAGCAAGACACACAGAGACAGCCAAAATGCTAATGCTGCCAGGATGAAAGTGATGAGCCATACATGTACTAACACAGGAGAAAAAAGTGGAAGAAAAATAGCAAGCGAATGGGATGGGGATGGGAATGGGAATGTCAAGGAGATGCGCCTCCTTGAGCTCTAAGAGGAGACCCAGTAAAAATGATCAAGGAAAGAAGGTTTTGTGCATTGGGAATGAATTTCAGCCTAGACCTGACCAGTTTCTAAAATTCAGAAGATGATGTATTAAGAGATCCAAGGGGGACGAAGTGAGGCAGGAAAGACGGATTCTTTGCACATGTGAGCTGATCTACTAGAGCCAGCTAAAGCCAGAGCTGCAAGGGAAAAAGGTAAACCATGGTGGGGAGCAAAAGCAGAGGCCATAGAGGGCAGTGGTTGCAGCTCCAACTCCAACCTCAGATCAGCTAGAATCTCACTTGCCTAGCCCAGTTTTAAGTATTCTGATCAAATGCTTGCAAATGTAATTACTGCGTGGGTGCAGCTATTAATAAGTATTGTAACACTGTTATCCAATGTATAGTTAGCATTTTATTATAGTGTTTCAGAACATTTGTTTAAAATAATTGTATAACTGCTACTGGCCTTTGGATTTAATAAAGGCATTTTAGCTGAATTACCGATGTACAGGAGACCCTCGCCATTCACAGGGGATGCGTTCCAGAGATCCCTGCAAATGGCGAAATCCGCTAATACTTCAGGAGCATGGTGCCGGGAAATGCGGAGCTCCCGCAGACGGCACCGGCACTGTCGGCGGCAAGGGGGAGGGAGGAGCATGGCAAAAGCATGCAGGGGAAGAGAATGCATTAAAATATTCGCACCGCAAATATTCAAAACCACAAACAGCCAATCCACGAATGGGGAGGGACTCCTGTAATCAATCAAATTCCAATACCAGCCCCTGAAAAGACGGCCCAGGGAAGAGTCTGGCAATCTGTATTGTAATGTTATTTGGGGCAATGACAGTCTTTTAGATGCACATTTGTATACTTCCTAGCACAATGAGGGCCTGTACTATATGTTACCATAATTAAATAATAACGGCCCTTGTCCAGATATCAAACGCCAAAGTTATGTTACTTTTAATATTCCTTAGATAAGACCCCTTTCCCTGGCACTTTCAGAAACTCCCAATCTCTAGTGTTTATTATCCAATACAAATATACCTCACTAATTAATTACACATTACATGGTAAGGCAGAAGGGCATTACAAGAACTTGAGGGAGGTAGTTAGCTATGTTAGTCTGAAGTTAAGCAGAAGGCAGGCCTAAGTGGCACCTTATAGACTAACTCATTGAGAGAGACAAGAGCTGTCATAGGCGTCATCAGATGCTACAATATCTGATGAAATAGGTTGTAACTTATGAAATCTCATGCCTCTGAACAGATTCGTCTACAAGGTGTCACCCTGCCCTCTTCTCTGCCTAAGAAGAATTTGGTTAGCTAGTTGTTCCAACTTTACAGTCACCAAAAGTCACCACAGATACTGGGATCATTAGCCGTTTTACCTTGTAAGAAATCCGTACTCTACAATAGAAAATATAGTAAGGAAGTGACCAAAGTATTATTGCAATTTTATTTTTACTGTGCTCATATTTAAAGCACTGCAGACTTCAAGCTTGCTGGCATATGTAGCTGTTAGTGAGATCTGGCACAGCGAGCAGCCAGAAGCTGAAAATGTCAAGTGCCAGTCCTCACCTCCTCCTGCTGGCTACCAGCAGCAATCTAATCCTTGTTCCACAGAAACTGAGGTTGAATAACCTAAGGAAAGCATTTCTGAATATATTTTTAAGTCTTCCCTTCATTACTACGATTCCACTTTTCTTTGTTTTGCCCTGCTTCCTTTGTTAAAAGAACTATACTATCTGGTTTTCAGCCTACTTCCACCCAAACTAGAAAGTTATACAGGGAAATTAAAATAAGAATTTGATTACTATATTTCTAATGTTCCAGTTATCTTCATGAAAATTGGGACTGGAAAAGCTGTTGGCAGGTAATACTGGAGAGTGGAAACTCTTGCTTGTCATTTTCAGTGTCTAGCAGGTGAAGAGCAGTTGAGTATCTGTAAGTAATCATGAACCTTGATTCTGTAATATCGTAAGCACAAGACAAGAACATTTTTTAATGTTCTCTTTTAAAATGACAGCAATTCCCATATGCTTAAGATCACTTTAAAATATTTCCTTTAACTTCTAAAGATTTTTAAACATTAAGAGCAAAAGTAAGTCTGGATACACTACTATTAAAACACAAATCAAAGGAAACTTTAAAATTTTTTAAACCTTCCACTTCTAAGGCCTGATTCAAAGTTCACTGAAGTCAGTGAAAGTTTTTCCAGGAACCTCAATGGGCTACAAATCAACCCTTAAGTCAGCTAATGAAAAGACATAGGTTCACGAAATCTTGTGAACGCTCGCTTACTCCCTCTCCAATCTTATTTAGTTAGTCTACTAGCATGGCTAACTACCTTTCTCACACCATCTAAATGCCTCTTTATATGCTACTGGATAGACACATGAAAAATATGGTCAACAATATATATTTTAAAGTTCTGAAAGCTCGTTAAGAAAAGCTAGGTTTAAAAAGCTAAAAAAAATTGATATTGCTATGAACTGTATATACAGCAAGAAAGATGGGAGCTTCTTAGACGTTACTAATTATCTAACGAAAGGGCTTCTTCCTGCCTCAGTATCCCAGCTTTGATGCCTGTCAGCCTCTCAGTGAAACTCAGATTTTACAGCCTTATGTCATGCCAGAGAGGTAAAAATTGGCACAGCTGCTGTCACCAAGACAGATCAGTGTCTTTCACAGTAAGACAGCCCAAGAGCAACAAACAGGCAAAACAAATCACTTTGTTACCTGTTTAACACTGAGGTTTTTATACCAGCTCTTCACCATTGCTACCACCATCTCCATAGCCAAGTCCTTTACATCAGACACCCAGAGCAAAGCAAGAAGGCTGCTAGGTTAATAGTTTAAGGGATGCTGTCAGTTTCCACACTTCAACAGTGATGCAGCTCACAAGAATTCATAAGATGCAATTCTTCATAAGAACATAAGAATTACCATTTACTGGGTCAGATTATAACTCTATCTTGCCTGGTACCCAGTGTCATGCAGGGGCAGAGGGAGGATGCTGAAAGGGAGAGTGAACTGGGTGTGACCAAGGTTTTTTTTCCCCACTGTTCCTCTCTCACTTGCAGCCTTCGGTATTTAAGGTCTAGCAGTTCTGATTCAGAGGCTGTCTTCCTAACACCTGTGCTCAATTGCTACGGACACCCTTTTCCTCCTCTTTGTTTTTTTAAATTTTGTGTGTCTGACCAAATTAGCCAAATCAGTTCCAAATTTCATCTATTGAGCAGACCTCCACGTGGTGTTACCACCAGCAAGTATCTTACCTCCCAGACTCTTTATCCTGGGCCTTCAAATACTCCCAGATCCATGGCAGGCATCCTACATGCAAGCCCCAAGCCTGGAGATCATGGGGTTCACGTGTCCCCTGACTCTTTCTTGCCCTCAGCCAAAAGGCCAAAGGAGTAAGCTAAGGAGAAACACCCCCATCTCCATAAAATAAAGTGTGTAGGTGAGATCCTCCCATCAGGAGGCTATAGTAGACTCTCGTAGGGGGACCAGCCTGAAGCGCAGAAGACAGGTCTCCACCCTCAGCTACACAAGGCCATTACAGGTCAGGGAGAAGGGGATCTCCCTTTTGAGTTACAGCACAACCTCCTGGACCAATACCGCCTTCCACCATGGCAGTGATCATGGCATCTCCCATGCCAGGTAAACCCTTTTTCTCCAAGGTGTCCATCCCTTTTTGAATCTGGCTAAGCTGTCAGCATCTGATGGCAGCAAGCTCCCCACTTTCATGTTGCGCAGCATGAAAAGGAACTTCCTGCTGTTAATCTTAACTTATGACCCGCTCGTTCGGTGCTGCGACCCCTAGTTCTCTTCTTGGGAGAAAGTCGATAGTAAATCCTCGCTGACTTTCTCTCTGCTGCTTAGCATTTTGTAAGCCCTCCTCATGCCCCCCCCCCCCCCCCCCCCCCCCCCCCCGCCTCTCTTTTGTCAAAAGAAGGGGCCTGGCCCCTCCACTCTCTCCCCACATGGAAACCCCTCCAGGTGCAGGTGCTTGTCATCCCACCGCCCCTGCCTGGACCCTTCCAATTCCTCCCTCCATCTCCTCCGGTCCCTTCAAGAAGAAAGGGAGACCCAGGTGAAAAGCGGGAAGGAAAGGCACTCCCCAAACCCTCCCCTAGTCTCGGCAGCGTTTCTGACAAGCCTTCTGTCATGAAGGGCCCCACAAAGGAGGCGAGTTGGCCGGGTGCGGGGAGCTGGGTCCTTCCCTCCGATTCCCGAAGCCAAGTCGGCTCCAGAGATCAAGGCAGGGGACAGGCTGCCTCGCTCCCGTGTC